CTTCTACATCTACAAAAATACTACTAGGCCAACCATATATATATATATATTCAGCAGTGTTTCAAAGATACAGATATACAACTTAAAAAAAAAAGATATAAATTTAAAACTATAACCTTGCAGTCCTTTATTTCTAACTCCCGAAATATCAAGGTATACAAGAAGGATAAAATGGATACAATATTTTATTATTCATTAACTGCAAAATCGCAACCATAAAAGAATTATAGGAAATTAGGCTGCAGGATGTCATGAATAAATTATACTTTATTTGAAAAAGTTTGTTATAACTCATAAAACATCTATCATATATAAACTGATTAAATAAATAAACCATGTCAGCATAGAAGAACATCCATAACAAGGAATGCAATCCCAAAGGGATAATCTATAACAGCAGGCATATGTCTTTAAACATAGGCTGCATCTAATTTTGTGAAAGAAAGTCCCAGGACACAGCACCTGCCTTTTACTCACACAGCCCTGTTCCTATCACTCAGGTATACAGCTTCCTGTATCATGGACTGGATGATAAACAAAGGGTACAGACATACACACCTTTGTATTATTATTTTTTTTTTATATATTACACCCTTCAAATCAGACCAGTCTTTATACATTTCACAGATTACTACAGCAACACTCAGGTTGAAACATATAGACATATTGCTATTATTTTTGTGCCCTGCAATTCAAAGTGCTTGTTATCATTCAGTAATTCCTGAATGGTATTTCTCAATAAAGCACTGCAAATTAACAAGTAATTTCAAGCTATTCTGACTGGAAGGTTAAGAAAACAGATCAAGGAGAAAGTAATGAAAAATTATTAATTTGAAAAAAAGATTCTTCCTTTTTGGGGGGGTTGTAATGGCACTGCTAAAACTGCAGAAATTACTTGAAAGTTAAGTGGGGCTGAAAGTACAGGGGATGGGTCTATGATGCAAACCATGTAAGTCATATGAAGTAGAGATGGGACTTTTCAAGATTTTTTGGTCCTGGGTTGGAGATACTTCTAAAAGTTTGGGGGGCTTATATTACTGGTTTCGTACACTTCTTTGTCTTAAGATGGTGGGAACCATGGCAGTGATTTTTGGCAGGTTCCACATGCCATAAAAAGGGGAAGATTGTACTAAAGGCTGCTTGGCCTGCAAGTAAAGTATAGTTTAGTTTACAGTAAAGTTTAACCATTACAGTTTTGGCACTCCCTTTATGGAGATGTTTATAATATCAAATTAATAGCATTGCAACAACCAGCTCCCTATGACTAGTTTTTTTTTTTTTTTTTAAGAATTCATTCCACAGAGCTGTTGTAATATGTAAAGGTCTGGCCACCGTTTGAGTGAAGGTAAGCATTTTTAAAATTATTTTATTTCCTAGATCATGTTGCTGGAATCCATGTTCATCAGTAAAGACGTGGTGATTATGTGCAATGTCTAATATGTCCCAAAGCATCTGATTCTTAAACAACAAATTTCTTCCTAAATAGATTATTCAAAGTCAGTGGCTGATTGTCACAAACATAGAAAGCTATAAAAAGTATACCCACATAATTCAGAATAGTGGATGAGGAAGTATTCATATGATTTACTAACACTGACTGGTAGACATGTTTCTTCATGCCCCAACCACTGGGATTAGATGGGCTGCAAATTGAATACATGAACATAAATATTCAATGCTAAATGATCCAAATCTTGAAGCAACATTTTTTTCATCGAAATATTAATTTTACAGCTGAAAGATACTTAGAAAGTTTTCTAAAAGCGAAAAATGCAATGGAAATTTAAACCTCCGCATCAAGCAATATACTTAACCACCACAAAGTATAATCACTTAACAGTATAATCTAGTATAATCCAATTATTTAAGATTACTACAATAGATTTACTAATGTTAGTTTTCTTATGGCTTGATACAAATGAGTATAATTTCATAGACTTTAATTAGAGATAGAGATAACTATAAAATATTCTATTTAAAATACAAATCTAGAAGGTAGAGATGGTTTCCCAATTCATAACTTATTTTAAAATAATAATCAATGTAAGTAAGACTACTATTACTACTCGTCTACTACAGCAGAAATCTTAGTTCTATAATCAGTATCTCTATGGCTGACATTCTGAATAAATCTAAGCCAAAATTATTTAAAACCCTAATTTGTTGAACATGCCACAGTAGTCTGGTTTATAAAGTACATCTCTTTTTGAGTAGAAATGTAGCACATAAATTAAGTAAATAAAGCTAAACTGTTCATACTTCACATTAAACCCCAAACTAATCAAATCTTAGAGCCATATATGCCCAGCTATCTTTGTAATCCCCAAAACACCCCAGATTACACTAACATTCAGCCACAAAAACATGGGTTCATAAAAGTGGGTTCATAAAACATACTGAATGATTTATTAAACAACTCAAGATTAAATACAGTGTATAAACTCAATCAGTCTAAATAAAAAACAGAGTAGAGTACCCACAAATAGAGAAAAACTGCTGAATATACACTTAAGACATATTTTTCTGTATTCATTCTTTTATGTTCTTTCAAAATAGCACCCTAAATATTATACATTTGTCCCTGTAAGGAATTCTAAAAGTCAAACACAGAGCTGAAAGAGACTGGAAAGCAAGAGCAAAGCCCAAGCTCTGTGTATAATTATTTAAAGAATTTACAATCAGTTCTCTTCTAGATAAAGAACCAAGTGATATACCCTTGGGAAAATCACCTTACTGATCACTGTGAACTGAGTTTCTGACATACTTTCTTGTATAATCACCAGCATTACTAGAAGATTAAATGAATTTAAAAGATAGAAGGCGAAGTATTAGAGTCTTCTGTTTGCTCATAGGCAGATTTTATAAGGCAAACCATGGTATATAACATGATTTGATTCAGTTTTATATGTGTCTGTATGGTATATGTATATATGAAATCTACAAGTGTAAAATTTTGAAAGCGTTCAGCCATTAGTTATTGTTAGATTAACACACTTTAATCATAGCATTTTAACATTAATATAACTGGAAACAAGGATAATTTCTGACTTTCTCATGGCTGAGGGTTGCTTTAATTCTTTAACCACATAGCACAAATGGCTGGTGACAGGGGATCACGAGAGTGGGGTGGGAGTTCAGTCCCATCAAATTCAGTGGGGTGTACCACCAGGAAAGGGTGGATAGGACTATGGTCTAACTGTGTATTTTTTTTATAACTATCCAAGATTAAGTGCAGCAACAAAGAGGTCATACCTCTTGTACAAGTTTTCACTCTCTAGCATTAGTAACGTTCATATCCTGAACTAATGAGCACGGACAAATGAGATCTCGAATAATAGAATTTATAATGCTGGAGATTTATGTTTAAGATGTGGGAAATCCTGAGAATTATTTTATGGGCCTAAAACTTTATAATGCCCCTTTTAAAAATAGAGCAATTCTGAATAAACTTTCAGTCTAGGAGTTTGGTAAAATCATTTATGTTTATGCTGTACTGAAAGACAACACTGTGCAGTGGTGACCAAACCCTAAAAATCAAGAGAAACTGGAATAACAGCATTGCATACACGATGAAACTGCTAAAATAGGGGACAGACAGGAGTCTTCCCCCATCAATACTTTCTCTATTTATTTCACATATTAAAAGTAACAATTATATTTCTACCATTCTAACTAATACAGTTGTATATCCACATGCAAAGTGAGAAATGTCAGTGACAGAGAAAGTTACATTGTAATCCAAGCAAATGTTTCATATATCCTCAAAAGAAGTACAGAGGATCGTGTATAATATTTCTGAAATAACATCAATAATTTATATAAATCAAACATCATACTGTCACTCAAATATATAAATAATTTTAAAATTCCCAACCTGCAGCAAGTTACCAATAACTTGTAGATCTTAGGGCCATGAATTTAAAGAAAGAGGAAAAGGGGAGTTTTTTTAAAGAGAAAAGTGAGCCTAGTATAAACATTACAAAGAATATGTTTCTGATACTTTAAATAACTGGTATCTTAAAGAAGCAAGGTGTTTGTAGATACTACTGCTACTGAACAATTATCTTAAACGTCCAATAAAAATCAAAATATTCACAGATTTGCAGATAAGGTAAATATTTAATTTTTTTTCAAGGAAAAACCTCTGGCTGGGTTCATTTATCATGCTAAGCCATGCTTCATTTTCATCATGATTTGTTGGCTAACCCACAATATAACACTAAGCCACAGTAAAACAATGCATGAAGCCACCTTAATTTGCAAACCATCTTTTATGGCTTAGCTTCTATATGTATAGTAACGGTGATAAATTCAGTAACCATGATTACTCAAACCAGAACAATTATTCAGAACAAAGTATTACTGTAACATCTGGTTAGTCCTCTCTTTTTCTCCGAAAGTGGAATGGAGGACAAGTTTCTCAAAATTACAGTGCAGAGCTCTGGAACAGGTATTATTAAGGCAAGAGGCTGACAGTTCCTGCCTGCTCTAAATTCCAGCACTATTTTAGACCATATCTCCCTTTCTTCGCCCAAATACACACACAGAACAACAAATTATGGCTCACTCAAAAGGTTATATTCTACAAAATTTATGAGCATAAAATGTACACATCTTGAACAACCAGTCACATATTTTATAATAATAGATATACTGTGATAATATTACTGGTACCCACAAGTACTGTAATTATATTTTTACCCTAAAAATCCTACAAGCACTGTCTGACCTATTTTGCATAATGTTTGTATGATAATGTTTCTTCACCTGAACTGTCAAATTAAGTTCCTCATTTGGGCAGATTCTATATTCAAATATTTTTTCCCCAACTACATTACTACTGTGTCCAGAAATGCTTGTACAAAATTTACAATATAAATTTTATAAGAGGAACAAGAATTTAGAAAAGAACAATTATTTAAACTAAAGTAATTTCATTTATTGGGGGGAGGAATTAAATCAAGAAATGAATTGTTCAAAGAAAAATGGAATGTACTTACCAATATTTTATTATCTACTTTGTCACTCTTGACTTCAAGCTTAACTTTCTTTTTCACAGAAATCTTTATCTTCCTTCCAATCACATCCTTGACGCTTTCTGAAAAAAGTAGAGAGCATAAAATACTTTCAGTGTTCAGGAACTGAAAGAATCTACGTAGTTATACTATTATTTTATTCAAGTAAATACTCTTCAATGTAAATAAATTTAACTGATATTCTACCTCTCTTATTAATTGCTCCAAAGTGAAATATTACATGAACTCTATTTTAAAAAGTAAATCAAGCTCCCCTGTGTTTATGGGTTGACTGAAGAGGCTAAGGAATTGCAAACCAAAACAAAAGGCTTACAGGTAGTCCCCAGGTTAAGAATACCCGAGTTACAGATGACCCATAGTTAAGAGTCTATTGTAGCAAAATTTGAGTTAAATACACAATGATTTGAGTTAAATATACAACGGTTAGAGTTCATTATACAATGCTCCTGCTTACATTATCCGGCTTACATATAAATTTGACTTAAGGACAGACCTTGGGAATGGAACTTGTTGGGGACTCCTTGGGGACTACCTGTATTTCTCTTGTCATAAGATATATAGTCATGTGAAAAAGTAAGTATACTCCACTGAAATTTTTTACTCTTTCAACACATTTCAACATACAGATATTCAATCTTCATTTCAACAATATTGATAGATATGATACCAAATATCATATACCCTTTACGTTTTGTAATCCATTGTGTAATTTAAATAAACATCAATGTAAATTTCGCATGTGGAAAAAGTAAGTACACACCTACATTTATCACTACCCCAGATACCTAAAATTAGAATCAGGTGTAAATGATTAGAACATTGTTAGAAAGGATATGGGAGCAACCTGTCAGACATTTAGTTTGATTTGGCTTGTTGGTGTTGAAGTGTATGGTATCAGCATGTCTAGATCAAAAGAGCTCTCTGAGGCCGTCAGAAAGAAGGTTACAGATACCTCTAAATCTGGGAAGGGATTTTAAAAGATTGTCAAACAACTGGACATCAATTATTCCACTGTCCAGAAGATCATCCATAAGTGGAGAAGATTTCAGACAACTGCCAACTTGCCCAGGCTATCCCAGAAAGGTCAGCCAGAAAGCAGAACAAAAGATGCTGAAAAAAGTATCTAAAAACCCCAGAATTTCATCACATGACTTACAGCTAGCTCTTGCCATTACTGATATCAAAGTGCATGAGGCTACCATTAGAAAGAAGCTGCACAAATTAGATTTACATGAGAGATATGCCAGGAGGAAACCTTGGCTCTCCAGAAAGAGCATCAGAGCAAGACTGAATTTTGCTCATAAACAGCTAGGCAAAGACCAGGACTTCTGAATCAATGTGCTCTGCACAGGTGAGGCAAAGGTAAGAATTATTTGGCCACAGCACCGGAAGATGTTTGGCGAAAACTAAAGAAAGCACTTCACCAGAAAAACCTGATACCGAACCTGATACCAAACCTGATACTGTAAAGCATGGTGGTGGAAATGTTATGGTTTGAGACTACTTTACTGCATCAGGGCCTGGACAACTCACCATCACAGAACCACTATAAATTATTTATTGTACCAAATGCTGCTTGAGGATAATGTGAGACTATCTGTCAGAAGTTTGAAAGTCAACCAAAAGTGGACCTTGCAACATGGCAATGACCCTAAACATTCCAGTAAATCCACCAAGGAATGGCTGGGCATAAAAAAAGAAAAAAAGAAATGGAGGGCTCTGGAATGGTCAAGTCAAAGCCTGGATTTAAATCCATTGAGATGCTGTGGGGTAATCTGAAATGGGATGTTGCATGCAAAAAACCCTTCAAACATTGCACAGATGAAAAAATTCTGCATGGAGGAATGGGAAAAAATTCCTCCTAGTCGATGTCAGATGCTGGTAGACAGTTATAAGAAACGCCTACTTGGGGTTGTTTCTGCCAAAGGGGGTAATACCAGGTATTAGAGCCAAGGATGTACTTACATTTTCCAGAGAAGGAAATGGCATATCTGTTAATTTTTTGTTGAATAGACAACTGCCAAGTCCATTTTTCATAGTTGTTTTTAATTATACCACCTTTATATTTATATACTGTTTGAACAAAGGTAAAATATTGATATGTCCACATATGTTAAAAAAGAAAAAACTTTACATGGGGTATACTTACTTTTTTACATGACTGGAAATAGTTGATCTCAGTTATACTCAGATATTCTACATAACAGCCATTTACATTGTATACATAACTGTAATTTCTCAGAAATGACCACCACATTTCTAAGCTGTCCCATCCATACATTCAAACACCACAATAGTTCCAAATATTTTTTTCTGATAGAATTAAAATGGGATATCCAAAATATAAAATGACAATCTACTAATTAAATTTCTAATTTATGGCCTACCAACATAAGTAGTCCTTGAACTATACACAAAACAGATTACATTGGTGGGCTCTAAGCACAATAATTTTCTCCTGTAATTTTTTTGGGGGGGAGGTATTCTAAATATTCCAGTTTAATACTGAAATGCTGAGCCAAGAGCATGAAAAGCTGCTATTCCAGCATGGGCTTCGTAGAACTATTAGTCAAACTGCTGTTAAATTCTGATGCCAAATTTTCATTCAATTGTAATACCATCTGTCACAGGTCACAAACAACTTCCTTCTAAAAGAGTTTTCAGGGATTTTTTTTCTTTCTCTTGCTCCCCTCTCTGCACAAGAAATAGACTAGGAGGTCATAGCCAGAACTATATTTAAAAGTCAGACTTAGGGAGGGGGGATTTCTGGCACAGGCTACCTACTTAGCAGATGAAAGAGATGTTACATCATTCATCTTCACTTGTACAATAATGCTATATTCTGCCTGCCCTGCAAGCATTTGATTTTCTTTTTCTCCCTATTTACAATATCATGCAAGTGACTACTGTTAGATCTATACTGACAAGTTTGTCATCTTATACATCAAGGATAAATCATGTGTGCCAATTATGCATTAAAGTCATGAAATAACATACCAATACAATAAAAACACAATGTTCAACAGTGTAGCAAAGCACCAAACCAGCCCTAACTACTGATCTAAGATTTTAAAAAATGGAGTCTGTCTGTCTGGGGAATTTATAGGATTTTTGTGTTGTGGGAAGCAAGCAGCCTTGGATTTGCTTTTGTTATATGGATAGGATGTGAGACTGTGTGATGATTAGAGGCCAGTGATGTAACTGGTGAGAAGAAAGAGGGATAATTAAAAAACAGCTATGGCCTGGTAGTTTCTGTGAATCTGGAGGACAGGAAAGGTGGCTGAAAGCTGGCAGGAACAGCAATCACATGGATGACCTCAAAGAAGGTGGGGAAATGACTGGAGAAGGGGAGAGAGAGCAGTTCCATCTGTCCTAGCCAATGTGGTTCTCTTAGACTGGGAAGTTGGAAGCTGGCAGAAGCAGAGGAAGATGTGGACAGGGGTGGAAAAAGGTGCAGCAGGCAGGGGGACTCCTTGAAGTCTGGAGGGTGGGGCAAGAGGCTAGTGAAGGTCAGGAAGGAGAAGAGAAAGAAGTAGAAAAGAACATGGAGAAAAAGACATGTGGGTAGAATGGGGAATGGAATTGTGAGTGGAGGATTGTGCAAGCAAGTGGAATGGGGAATAGCGAGCAGGAAGAATGGAAACTCTGAAAGGGTTGTGGAGAAAGGAGAATGGGTTAAATATGAATGTAGAAGGAATATTGGTACTGGAAGGTATAGACAGCACTATTTTGGAGTGTATGTGTTAGTGGGAAGGGCAAGAGGGAGGCACGGCTAAGTAGCTGGGTTGAGACTGATGGTGATGGCAGATTGCAGAGAGGCTTTATTGAGGCATTGGGCCAGCAATTCTAGGGGAAAGGTGACCGCCAATTTAGTGCCACTACCCTCTTCTAGCACTTCAGGATCATTCTTTGAGAGCTAGGAATTGTTTGACCAAGCTGTTATTGGTCAACACCACGTCCTTAAGATCACATTCATTTACAACTTCTTTATAGATGAGAGAGCGTATCTGGTATTGTAGAGTACATAAGGAATGGCCTTGAAGAGCCACTATCAAGGCAATGATTAGACAAGTGTGGCTTGAGCCCATTCCAAGAAACTAATTTGAGTAAACATCTCAGACAGGCCCCTCCCTGATCCACAAAGATAAAAGTGACGGAGGGGGAAGCATATTCAGACTTACAAGATTCTGTTACTGTAACTGCTGCAATAAAAGTAGTTCTAGACCTATATGGGATTATTGGTTTCTTAGTCTGGTCTACCTTATACAGCTGACAGGTATATAGTAATGAAACCTGATTGGGTAAGAGTCAGTCTATCTATAGCCCTAACTGAAATTTGGCTACCTAGGTATGAAATCCTTCAACAGTCTGACTCAAAGGCTGGGGACATGGAGCCTGGAAGTGTGGTGATAGTGATGATCCTTGAAGTTACTTTGGCTGTGATAGGAATCCTGTTCTATAAGCAATGGGTTATAAGTCCCTGTATTTGAAGTACCATTTGCACTGCTACCCAGTAGGTTCCCTTTCTGAGTCCAATCTTGTTGCTGGGCTGATAGTGGAATCTCCTTGGCTACTGAAGCTGGGGGGAGGAAGTCTGGGAGGGGAGGAGGAGTTCATGGTCTCCATGAACCTCTTCCCAGGAAATCTTGGGCTTGACTTATGCTGGTGGTCATTCATTAAACCTAATTTTTACCTCAGAGCATTTGGCTTATGATCTGAAGGTGAAGGATGCTGTTATTAGTCTTTTGCCATGATCAGATCATTGCTTGGTCCAGATAAGGCTTATCACCCCTGGTGACCCCCTAGGATAGTGGGACAGGTTAAAATAGTCTCTCCTCCCAGCTTTTTTTTTGTCTGCGCTCAGTCATTGCTGACCCTGCAGTGACTGCTTGGACGAGTCCTTGCAGTTTTCAAGGTACCCTCTAACAATTTTTTTTTTTAATGTTTAGAATTTCCAGATTAAT